CTCTGGCCTATACCCCAGTTCTGTATGCACAAATAAATAAATAAATCTTAAAAAAAATATATATATATATATTTTTTTTACATCATTCTTCATTTTGTCCATTTTTTCATCATGGTTGTAATCCCCGTGAACTTCCCACCACCAATTCCGTGTGCCATCACCGTAGTCCCGTGTGCTCCTCCTGCCCCAGTTTTGATTCTTTCTCCCTCTCCACCACCCCTATAGAATGTCTCTGGTTTATAATTGTTTGTGATTTTTCATTTTTACTTTCTTATAATTGCTTTTTTCTTTTTCTGATCCCTTATGCTCCTGCTATGAGTGAAACCATCGGTATTTTTCTTTTTCTCTCTGGCTTATTTCACTAAGCATGATCCTTTCCAGTTCCATCCATGTTGCTGCAAAAGGCATAAGTTTATCTTTTTGATTGCTGAGTAATATTCCATTGTGTATATGTACCACATCTTTTTGATTCAGTCATCTATTTAGGGCACTTGGGTTGATTCCACATCTTTCCTATTGTAAATAGAGAGCAGTAAACATAGGAGTGTAGTTGTCCTTTAGAATTAATGTTCTCATGTCCTTTAGGTAGATATCTAGGAGTGGGATTGCTGGGTCATAGGGAAGCAATTTGGGAAACCTCCAAATAGCTTTCATAGTGGTTGGACCAGTTTGCACTCCCACCAGCAGTATAGGAGAGTTCCTTTCTTTCCATATCCCCACCAACATTTGTTATTGCTAGTTTTTTTAGTATGTGGAAATGTAACTTTTTGTATGTGCACAATTTTAAAGCTAGTTAGCTATTAAACACTATAGCCGTGAAGTATAGAACACATCATGCATTTTTAGTGCTAAGTGTTAACCATTCAAAGTAAATATAAATTTGTTTAGTTTACTTTTTAGAATTTTTTTCTCTAATACAAGTATTTTTCCTCATAAGACTTGATTCAAAATGAAGAACAAGTTCTATGAGCAGATTTAAGATAATTGTCATTGTCATTTAAATTTTCACAGTTAGCTTTTTGACTCTCCACTGTTGATAGGCTCTGTGTCTCTCCCTTATCCTCCCCCATCTGCCTGCCACCCAGCAAGTACCATGTAGAGGGCTGATATGGTTTTGATGGCTGGACTTTGCAGTTTCTTTGGGATTCTGCTTTTTATAGCATTTGGCATTTAGGACTGTGAGAAGCTGAGAATCATGATTTTCTCGTAATGTAGTCTTATAGTTAGAGGTGTCCTCCTTACCAGGCTAGTCCAGTTTCCTTAACATGTGGTGGTGGAGAGCTGGGGACTACTAACTGCAGTCATCCAACCACTGGAAGATAGGCCGTTGGAAGGACGAATATGCTTAGAGAAGTAACTAGCTAACTCTCAGCTCATAGCTTAGTGAACCATCTTTTTGACTATTGGACTTCATAGACTGTTCCTCACAAGTGTATTTCTTTCTTCTTTTTCAGGACTTTATGGACAGCAGCCTGCCAACCAAGTCATCATTCGCGAGCGGTATCGAGACAATGACAGTGATCTGGCGCTTGGCATGCTAGCGGGGGCAGCCACAGGCATGGCCTTAGGATCTCTGTTCTGGGTCTTCTAGAGTTCTTGACGTCTGAATACGCATAGCTTCATACCTGTGTGCAATAATATAATTTGCAGGGCATTTTTGTTTCTGATAAATGTTTTGCATAATAGTTTCACAGTTCTTTTGATGTAGTGGCATCATATTATACCTAATCCATGTTAGTATCCCACAGATGGTTTGGGACTGCTATTTAGCTAACACTGATACATGAACTCTTTGAGGGCACCGGCTCATTCCCAGAGTTCCCTTTATGGAACTCTGAAGATACTTGACTTGGACATAAACATACCTGTTTAGAAAGGCATATTCTTCTTTGAATTAGGTGTTGTGTTTAAGGAATAAGTTATTTTAGTGTTACTCTGGTAAATGTGGTCATGTATGAGTTAGTGAGTGTGGCGAGAAAAGCTACACCTTCTTTTGGTTACTGGAAGACTCAAACCTTAGACCAGAGCTGGCTACATTTGCTTTAGGAATCATAGGCTGTTGAGCTACAGGGGAACTTCCTCAAGGCAGTGGCGTGCTATCACCCACCTCAGTTCCTCCTTTCCCCACCTTTGGGCCCTACAGGTCTCCAGCAAGCCTGACTGCTCAGGATGATGCTAGGGGGGGTGTTCCTCCCCCTTTACACTGAGGCTATTTGCCTGCCTTTCTTTTTTTCTATCCAAAAAGGTTAGGTTTATTAGGAGAAGGGAGAGGAAGACATAAACGGGAAGAAAGAGCTGCCTATAGCTTGTCCTTTCTCTTCTTGATTGTTTTTGGTAGCAATCCTTGGAAAATATTTCAAATTAGGAATTTCTTTGAAACTCAAAGTTGTGTCAGTGTTTTCTTTTTCTCCAAATGTCCAGGTACATAAAAGAATACTTACAGTCCCTGAAGAGAAAACCACCTCAGAATATAAAGGTGTATGTACTGTAGGAAGAATGACATAAGGGCATAACAAATGTGTATTAGAATTTTTTTTGAACCTCAAAGTTTTAGAACTTCATCCTTTAAAACTTAAGACAAAACAATTACAGACAAGTATGTAGAGGTAGATTTGCGTAGTGACATGTTTTTAGTACCCACTCTGAGTGTTTTTATTGCCACCTAAGTCTCTTCAGAACTTATTTTTCTACTTGCTAGAAAGTGATATTGCAAGAATGAGAGCTGTAGCCACAGTGTTATGTTTGAGGCTTGCTGGATTGCACACACAGAGGATACTTTTCTGTCCTTCTGAAAGTAGCTCAGGAGCAGGTTCACTGTTCTGTGTAGGAGATGGGTGCTGTGCCCTTCTGGAGGGTAGGGGTGTGTGGCATCCGGAGGGAGGAGAGGGGGTTGCGCTGGGATTCATGGCTGGGGTGGGGGTGGGGGGCTTGGCAATAGCTGGGAAATGAGACCTAAGGATAGGCTCCAGATCTCCAGATAGCACTGAGGCTGGCCAGCCTTGTTTTATTCTTGACCCAGGTGTCACACAGAAGCTTAAACCATTTAATTTCAGCCCCAGCTCTGTGTAAAGCTCTAAAACCACTGTCCTGCCTTTCCTATTTCTTTATTTATGTGAGTTTCTAAAGCTCCTAACTCTTCCTGTTTTTTTTTTTGTTTGTTTGTTTTTTTTGCACACTTTAAAAGAACACACTTTCTATTTAAGGCAGAAGTTCCCCTGCCCAATTTGGTGTGTGGCTGTTTTAAAACACACTCCAAGTAGTACAAAAAAAAATTTTTTTTGAACATTTTAAAAGGACAGATTTATTAGGAAAAGCAGAAAGAAAAAGGCACCTGTGTTGTGTCAGGTGGGCAGAGAGTGACAGCACACATTTTGTTAGCTTCTGTGGGTGTTACACACATACTCATGCTTCACTGGTCAACTGTTTCCATCTCTGAGGCTAGTGCCATGAGTTCCAATGTTTGATAACCTTGAGAGTGTCCACAGTTCTGTTTTCCTAGCCAATTCTAGTGGACTTGCTGGCCCTGAAGTTTCTGCTTCCAGCTGAAAGGAGATAACATGTAATTGCCATCTCTGGATATTTGATATAGTTGAAAATTGTCAGATGGTGATACATGCCAACATTGGCTTTGAGGCTTAACAACACTGCTTTTAGAATACATTCTGTGTAATAAGAATCATAAGATTGGCTTTGTTCAGATGGTAATTATTATTAAAGCTGTGTATGTTTTACTTACAAAATATTAAACACAATTTTTAATGTTGCACTGAGTATGATTTTGAATGTGGATTTACTGGAATATAGTGTTGAAGTAAACAATCCTCTGTGATCCCCCACACTGCTGTCTGACTGAAAGAGAGAACTGGTGATACAAGCTTGGGTTCTGTCCCCAGTCCTGAGGGGTGGGGATTGGGGAGGGGACTGGGTCATTGGGCATAGCTGAGCCTGGAGATTCACGGTGACTTGATCTTGATATGAAATGTGCACTGCTATAAAATGGACTGAGATTAGATGGATTAGTGGGAAAGATGGGCTTCATTTCCCTGGATGCATCTCCTGTAGATACAAACCCTTGGGTGGCTCACTTAGGTAATCCTGACTCAAGAAGTTAGGTGAGTTGGAAGGAACTTGTTTAGGTCGGAGACAGCATTATACTTGATGCGTACCTACAATGTGCCTGGAAGACGTTCGCCACTGTTACTATGCACATGGCGGTCTGTATTTTTGTTTTCATGCTCTGTTATTTATTCCTGGAGTTCAGTTCAGGCTTTACCCAGATAAGGGAGTAGGGAGACCAGTGCCTGTTTCAGATGATCACTGATCAGAAGGCCAGCCCAGAGCTTATGGTCTGGGTTAGAAGAAGTTCTGCACTTGACACAGCCTGACCCAGGTTTATTTTCTGTATCAGTTGTGATCCTTTATCACCTTCCTCTTCCTTGAATTTATGTGGAGACAGGCATGGAATACAGTCCATTTTTTCCTCCTAGAGCGGAGTTTTTTTCTGATTGCTTCCCTGACTAGTATTGTGTTGTGTCTGCATAATCTATTTTTCCCCATAATTGCGAATTACACATTTATAAATGAAAATGTTAATTCATTAAATAATTGTTAACCTTAAAGCTATTTTTTTTAAAGATTTATTCATACAGAACTGGGGTACAGGCCAGAGATGCGGAGGGTGAGAGGATTCACCAGAGACAGAGTGAGGTACAGCACAGGCAGATCGACGAAGTACACTGCTGAGGGGAGCAGCGGGCGGGTCAGGAGAGGTCTGCCTCGCCATGTGGATCTCCTCGTGGCAGGCGGGGATCAAACTCATGCGGAAGTGGCTTAAGCTTCTTTGTGCTGTGCTTTAACCTGCTGCGCCACCAGGGAGGGCCCCTTAAAGCTATTTTACTGTAACTTCTGTTATCTTTAAAAAGAATATTGTTGTAATAGTGTCAGCTTTCCTTGTTTTGTCATGAGCGATAGATAATATGAGTACAATTGAATGTTCTAACTCAATTAGAAAGTTCACTAGATTCTTACAGTAGCTGGGAAAGGGGGGTGTTCAAGTGTTTCTGGGTAATACTGAGCATCCAGAGTTACATGTTCTTCTCAGGACCATGGCAGGTAGAAGCCAAAACAGGTTCCTATCTAATATTGAAACACCCATTTCCTCTTTACCATGTTCATAGAGTAGAATTGCCACAAGAATGTATGGATGTCTCATACTAGCAACTCTGGGCTCTTTTCAATTTAATTTCTTGAATAGGTTAAGCAGGTTAAGCGTAATACACAAATCCAAAATTAAAAAAAAAAAAAGATTCGGTAAAATATTGCTCAGTTATTACCTTCTGCTTAATCATTAATACTAGCTTATTTATCTTTCATAAGTTTCCGATGCATATATAAGTAGCACAAAGACTTACTTTTTCTGTTTTTTTTTTTCCCACAAAAAGGGTATTGTACTCTATACCCCAGTTATCCTCAAACCTGTGTTGTCGCAGGATGCATTTATGCTATTAAACTTATGAGGTCTCCCACGAGCTTTTTAAACGGGGGTTCCACATATGTCAAACTTTACCATATCATTAGATAATAAAATTTAGGAATTTCAAGACTAAAAGGAAATATAGTAACCCATTTTAAAAACAATTTCTAAAAACTTTTTCAAAACAAAATTAGATAGGACTTGATTTTGAAAAACTAACTGGCTAAACAGAAGACAGCTAGTTCACCTATCTGCTTCTCATTTTTTTGTTTGTCTTGTAGACATGTAGTTGGAAAGGGAAGATCCTAGCAACCCTCCTGAAGGGTCTTGGACACCTTTGGGATCCTTCATCATAACTTGAAAACTACTGATGTATATTTTCCTATACCTGCTTTTTTTTTTTTTAAACCAACTCAAATTTCCCCATATTAGCACATCAAGGATCTCACCATTCATTTTATTTGTACAGTAGTGAAATTTACTCATCCCAGAGTTGAGTTCTTGAAGGTAGTGGGGCTGTGGATGCTGAGGTTCCCTGGAGCAAAACTCCTTAAAGCCCTCTTTGGTCTGTGCCTCTAGGAGCATGCTATCACTGTCCTGTGGGAACCAGAGGACACTGCATGCCAAGGGCTGCCGTGAGCTACCACAAACCTGAGAGGCTGGTCATGAATGCTCTACTGTGCTGCCCCTGAAGGGGAGGTTTCTGCACATGGTCATTCAGGGCCACAGCTGCTTTCAACAAATAGCTTCAGAGTCCTCCCCAGGAACCCTAGCATTCTGCTGGAAGAGAAAAGTGCGAAGACACACCCACACTGGACAGTGGACTAAAACTTCTACTCACATTCCAATGGTGAGAGCCGGCTTCCTCCTGGAGAAGTGTCACTCACACTTCAGAGAGCTCCCTGGCCATGAGCGTGAGTGAACGCACAGGAATGGGAGATAGTGACCATCATCTTCTTGAAATACCCAGAGGACATCAGTTTATATTAACACCCATCTGTTTATGTTAATGCTGTCTAAATATTAACCAGTCTTTACCAGTTAACAAAGTTGGTCATTGCAAATATGTACGTTGTGCACAACACAATGTATATAGTTTTGTTATGATCAAAGGTTTTAACTGAATTCTTTCTCCCCTACTTACCAAGATGGATCGATTTGGACCTAGAAAAGGATATTTCACTAATTCTATGAAGGAATATTGTCATCTTTTCCTCTTGTTCTTTAATACATTAACCTCATTCATCCCATCAAATGTTTTCTGAGTGTGTGTAGATTAAATGACTGTGCCTGGCTGTGGCATTCCCCTGTGAGGTGGTTGCATCTTTTTGCCCTTTCTTGTGTGACTGAGCGTGTCTCTTCACCCACTGGGAGGAATGGACTTCAGCCTCATTTGGGGTGTGTGGGTGACCTGCTTTGGCTTAAGAACATTGAGGTCTGAACTCTGGTGCACAGGTGCTGATGAGAAATGCATATTCCTGGGACTCAAGTCCAGAAAGGTCCCAGGTGCTTGAGGTGTGCTAGAGTCTGTTTCCATCATCCTGTACGGGGTTCTGTTCAGCCTGGACTTCCCTGATCCTAGCTTCTCCAAGCTCTTTCCTGTATGCTGCCTTCCTGCACTGCCAGGGCCAGCTCCCTCCCCAATTCACTGTGCCTGTTGAGCACAGGTGGGAGGTGATAGGTGCCAAATGCTAGCTTGGCGTAGCTCTTTAGGCCATTTTGCTGTCTGTCTAGTGGAAAGGTGTGTTGAACACATCTTTCTTTGGGCCATAAGATGGTTGGCAACTCTGTTACCAGGATGACATTTCTCAAAACAGGTTGTTTTCCCAATGGGCAGTGAGCGCACGTGCTCTGAGCAGCCATTAAGGCATGGCCTGCCTGTTATAGGGATTATTGGTCAGAAACCATGAGCGGGCCTCAAAGACATGGAAAGCTGGAGGACTGAGGGCTTGTGTCCCTCAGGGGAGGTGTCCCAATAAGGGTGCCTTAGAGACTGTCATCCTGAGTTCTGAAGTGCTTCCTAACCCACCTGGGGTGCAGAGGTATAGTGGGCAGCTGCAGGGAAGGACCACAGGGAGACGTGCTACAAGGACCACAGGGAGGACTATGGGAAAATGTCAGTGGGCCCTCACTAAGTCTCAGCGACCTGGTTTGTGAAGTAGGTGTCATAATGCCAGTGCCACAGACAGGTAGAGCATAGACAGTCCTTCATTATGGTCCTTTCCTGAGGTGGGTGCTAGGCCACCAGAAGCCCAGGGACTTAGAGAAGTATGGATTCTCCGACCCAGTCTGGACTTCTTGAATCAGCAACTCAGTCCTGTTTGACTCCACTCTAAGTTAAAGTCTAGAATAGTTTCCTTCCCTCTTATCCACTCCCATCTTCTTTCTCTTCCATTGTCTCTCTCCCTGGCTCCTTGACCTTTAACCCTCTCCCTTCTTCCTCTCTTCTCTCTCTCTCTGTCTCTCTGATCTACACCCCCAACCCTCTGGGGAGTAAGTGCACCTCCTGTGTGTAGCAGCTTCTGATAGTCACCACTGGGTGTCAGAGCTGTCCCAGGAATGTCCCTGCTTCCTGTGTTTCTTCCAGACCCAGTTTCTGGCCCTTCTCCCAGGGCACTCCAGATTCATCCCAGAAGAGTCCCTGCACCCTGTTTTTGTTCCCTGGCCACTGGCCTGGGCTGTAGCACCTGCTCCATGTCTCTGAAAATCCCCCATCTGCCCTGGCATTTCAGGACCCAGCAAAGCCCTGAGATAAGTAGGGGCATGCTGAAGCTCACCCTGTGCCTCTCAGGATGGGGGCACACCCTGTCCTTTCCACATCTGGCAGTGCCTGAGTGGTGGGAACCAGACTAGTCCGCAATACTGTATAGGCCCTCATGGCGGGCTGGAGGTTGTGGGGAAGGGAGAAATCCACCTTTCCCCTTGTGAACTAAAATAATCACTGCTGGGAAGTGAATTCAAGGTTTAATAAAAGATTTATTAAAGAAGTTGCCCAGCACACAACTTGGACCCAAGCCCCAGAGTTTTGGGCCTTAGTTTACATGGGTAAGTTACAAGCAAAGAAATAATAATTTTTTTCTTAACAAAGGAAAGAAGACATCTAGTTAATTCCTTCCTCTTTTAGTTAACCAAAGGAGTAAAGAAACTTAGTTTACTGATTACAGAGAAACTGTTCATAACTTCAAAGCTCCCCTTTGATCTCACCAGAGCTGGTTCAGTCAGAGCTGTCAGTGTTGGAAAGACATAAGGCACAAAAGTGATTTGAATTTTTTATCTTAAACGTAGCCCTGT